CAATTGGCCAAAACTCATCAATAAACCGCAATTAAATCAATACGCATTCGACACTTGATTGATCTAACTGCTGTCGTTTCATCACAWATCAAAGCAATGAATCAAAAAATGGACAGAAAACGAAACGACACCTGCAGACTGACATGACTCAAATAATTTTGAGTGATACGACCGCAAACGAAATATTTGAATGCATGAATGATCAGTTATTGTTCCTTTGGCTGGCTCTTGACACGTATAATCGTCAGTCTTTTACGATGAGGAATTTATAATTCGTGCACTATGTGCTTTGATCCCTTYTAGGCCCAATGCTCGTTCTAAACCTGTGTAGCCGCCCTCAGGGGATTAGCCCTCCCTATAGCATCTATGACTGATGGCTTGATCATTWTCAATTCCAGGCAATTTTTTTTAAGAAAAAAATGGAAAAATGAGGAAAAGGAGCTGCATGCGTGCATACATCTTCAGCTGTATACATCGCACGTTCCATGATTTCACGCTCTCGTTGTTGTAGTTGTTGTAGGTTATTTTATAATGATATTATATTGTCACAATGCGGCCAGTACTAATTGAAGCCTTGATTTCACTAAGCAACATACGTAACTTACCACAGCATTGATTGTATCAATCTGTTCAAATAATAGCCCAATTGGGAACAGGACAGATGGACTCGCCCTTGTTCGAATCCACCACCATGCACTTACCATGTGAGTTCCCGCACGTGAGGTATCTGTTGCCAGGTGACAGAATTGATCTAGATTTACATGTATAGGACAATATACCAATTGCTCTTAACTTYATTTTATTTTCCAAATCGAGTTATCAGGAGTTTTTTTTGTGATTACATTGTCGTCGTGATAACATGTCCATCTGTGCAAAAGCTGCTCCGGGAAAGCATTGAGCTTACACACGTTTTTCTCGAGTAGTGTTGACAACATACGCATGAACGTGACACATACGATCGTATTCAATAACACTATTTTTGTCCTACTTTAATACACACGAACCTTACAAACATGATGAATGTGAATGATCATTTACCRATATTTTGCCGCACACGACTTGCAAAACACACTTTATGAGTTTAATAATGAAATGATAAATGAAATGTACGCACGAAACGCACGAATGCCCTCGTTTTCGTGATCCCGCAATTATCATGCTTGTTATTGCTCGTAGATCATTATATCTTAAAATTCATATATCCTGAGATTTTTAGATATAAAGAGTCTTGATATTTTTAATAAAACTTTCTCTTTTTTCTGCTTTCGTAACATACTGGGGGACTTTTTTAACCTAGACTTGCCTTGTTTTGTAATTAATATTGTGAGGTAATGACAAAACTTAGGGCGTAGAACCACTTAAAAGAACTAAAAAACTCGTCCATCACATTTATTTCTGACAATGAAACTTCTGTTTTCGTCAATGATTGATCGGGTTGTAGTTTTTTTCGGTAAGAATGGTCACGTGATTCTATTAGTCGGAGCACCTGCACCAATCCAATCCCATCAGCCTCTATGGCTTGGTTAGTTTGTGTATGAGAATTCCATCAAAAACCATTGAATCTGGCAGTGATGGCCGTTTCATTAGGATTCTTTTTATTTGCTTACATATGTCTAGTATTTGAAATAACACATAGGATATGTATGATGCAGTGCAATCCCATGCCCGGGCCAGGTTTGTATGAGGAAATTGTGGATTTTAGTCAGATGTTTTGAAGTTGAACGAGCCCTCGTTTGTCGCTCTGCAAGCGTGGCAACCGACGTCTTCAAACTTCTCCACTGATTTGTKCGAGCTTGTGGAGGATTTGAGCCTTATTTTATACTAATACGAATRTCTTGATTTCTGCAGGYATGTATCATGGTGATATGGGGGATATTCGGTTCTCTGGGAGCCACGTGGAGGTGAGGTTTCATTTCACAAGAACACAGAACTCTGCTATCGTTCATGTTTAATGAAATAAGGCTCAAAAAGAACTTTAACTTATCTAGATATCAATAGCCTGCCGCCTCATTTGCTGACTGCGAATGAGCACTATCTTGATTTTTTTAGAGTCCCATTAATAAACTGTTATTTGTGGTATACTGTACCTCAAATCCTATGATTATAATTTGTAGTCTTTATGAAAGTAAACTTAAACTTGACTAAACCTGTGTTACATGTTACATGTTTATTAATCGACAATAACTGAATAGCAAGGTACCTTACATTTATCAGAAAGGAGGTTTTTGCTCAGTTTAATTCTTCAATATTGCCTTCTTTTCTAGAATACTGGGTCGGTACGTGAACGAAGGTAAGATTCGTGCAGTTGTCARTGTCAAGGAAATTCGAGGGTGGGTACGGTAAATTTATTTACACCCTCTTGTGTACGTGTGGACGTTTCTTTGTTGTTGTAAACGCGAAAACTGAATTAACSAAASCTATGGACGACTTACTAAAAGATCAGTTAGACCTAATCTCCATTTTAACAAAAGCTCAACTTGTGTATAAAGTACAAAATAGACCACCAAACTTCAGGAGGAAATAACTTATTCTTTTCTTTGGGCACATTGTTCTTGACTACAAAGAACTGTCTAGTTTGTTTGATGTGACATGTCGAGTACAAGGAAGAACACGATTGTCGTCAACTTTCCACCAGATTTCCATTTAATATTAATTCCGAAATGAAATTTTCCGTATTATTATTATTAGACGTTTTATGCAAAAGTCAGGTACAGTTCATATCTTATTGGATCAGCATTGAGAATGATGCAAAGGCCTGTTGCCTATTTTCACATTAATGCTCTTGCATGCACTTCTCTCAGTAAACCCCAAGAGTAAAACGTCCTTATTCTGAAGTATTTGACAGTATTTTGATATGATATTTTTGCTATAATAATTTTGTAACCATGACATGCGAGCTGTTCCATGTACAAATTTGATCGACATAAAGCGCTTTTACGAAGGTTCAAATAAGTTTGATAAACCTTCTCTTCATGAACTCTTCGGCTTTTTATTCATTTTTTTTGTAAACATTTTATTTTCAGGGATGGCTTAAGTACAAGACAGATTCGTTTTGACCCSTCATATCTAGATTTCCACGAACAGTGAGTATCAAATAAATTCACCTGTCATCTTGCCTGAAAACTTTGTTTTTAATGATTTCTAACTGCAAGTGACACTTGCTTATAAAATAACAGTATTTGGACTTAAAGTGTTATMGTTTAAGAATATTAAAATATAGCTTTTAGGGACTTCTTGAAAATATTTACTTTGTAATTCGTATGTCTTCTTTGCATGGAATAATAAGCTTATTTGTTTATTTGAATTAATATTATTTGGAAGGCTGATGCAATATTTTTGCACCAATGTGAATGAAGTCAAATAATTAATGTAAATGCAGTATGTGTATTGTTTAAAGTTTAGAGTTTTGTTTTGAGCATAGGATTTTTSTCCTAAATACTTTTTTGTGTTGGGCATTAGGTATATATGCATTATTGTGAAGCAGGTTGTGTGTTTGTTGCTGGTTTCATATTGACACCTTTGCCCTGTCTTTGGGATTAATAAAGACAGCTCTCCACACATCTTTTATTGTCAACCGATTCCCAGTTGACAGCCATGCATTTCAATTAAGCAATAATTTATGCCCTTACACTGAGATCTTTATTAATTCAACTATGAGCTCTTAGTCCAAAAATCCATTTGATTGAACTTTTCATGCGGCTGTACTGTTCTTAAAACCWACATTATTATTCCCTAAAGCTATTATTTAAGGTTTTTAATTCTTAATTGCATACAGTCATGCTTGCTGTTTTGTTCTGAGTCTAGAATTAACATAAATGTCAAGAATATACAATGATGAAGCAGTGAAATGATCCATATCAGTGACTTTAACATTGTTCATAACAATGTTCACAATTTGTGGTGGCAATGTGATTSTATTGAAAATTCATTTCTTCCTTYTGGCTAAAAGTTAAACCTTGAACTTTGTTTTCAGTAATGAAAGCAAACCCCCCATCAAGATCGATATTGTATTCTAGCTTTTGTTAATTTTTTATTTTAAAAAGGGGCTAAATTAACACACCAAACATGGTGATGTTTTGGTTAGCAAAACTGATCTAATGTGAATATCAGTGCAAGTCTAATCTGCTGACTAAAATGTTGTTTTGACTTGAACTTTCTAGTGGAGTTCAAGAACTTTTGTTTGGAACTTTTTCCTTCTTGTTGTCGTTGTATTAATGACATATTATAAGCTGTTTTAGTTGCGAGTACTTGTAATTTTTAAGATTATTACATGTACTATCTAAAAGACTTTATTACTGTTTTTTGCATTCATTTCTCATGCTATTCTTCATAATAATACCATTTTTTGGTACACACTTTCCTCATTATCAGGTTGTATTTAAGATGTTTGGCAATCAGTTATCTCTTTTTGAACTAATGAAGTTCAATGTATTTCTAACAATTTGTGCCTTCAGCACCCAACATGAAAAACTTAAGCTTTTGTTTATGTTCAAAAATAGAAACAACTTGCAATTATATATTCAAAAACTTACTCTTTATTATCCCTTTATGTCTTATGAATCAWGGGTTCAAAACTAACAGATTGTAAACAGATTGCAAAAGGATCTTTGAATTTGCCTTATTTTCTATATCAAATATCGAAAGCTGGGCCAGATTGAATGCCACTTGACTTAAGTCCTTCAAAACCAACCATCTTTCAATAAACGAGATCTCTTTCATGCCTGTTGCTTACTCATTCTTCTGATTCTTCATGGCTGACTAAGAGCAATCAAGCAATCGGATATGAGGCAAGCTACAGACTTGGAACTAATGATATTATTAATACAATAGTTTTGGTCTCTTCAAGTCAAAATAAAATATCAAAACAAAGTCCAAAATTGTGCAAGAAAGGAAACTTATTGACACTTAMAATGATATGGTTGGGTAATCCAATGCTACCCCTGAATGATCTAACCCTAGTAAATCAACATTAACCATTATATTCACTGCTCATGGTTGACTGCCAAACATACATCACTCTTGCCATGTCATCATTGCTTAACAATAACTTAATTGCGTATACAGAATGTCACTAGAACAATCTGAGCAGCAGCACTAAGTCATTCCCCCTTGCAAACAAGCCATGATCATTGAACATCATCAGAAAGGAACCATTATTTTTATCCACCATAAGCATTGACCAACAAAACCATTTTAATCACTAGCAATATGATAGGGGAATTTGAGCAAATTTGATATTAGGTGAAAATATTGATTAAAAAATGTTAAAAATGAATGAATGTTGTGTCATCATTCTACAATCGTTGCCAAAATTGTTGGAACGTTTGGACATTTATTTTCGTTTCACACTACGCAAGAATAAATAATCGACTTCTTAAGCCCCCCTTCCCCTCTCAATGTTGCGTGTTCCTTGCGAGTCGTAATGCATTTGAAAGCTACCTTGTCATACATCAGTAATACAGCAACATTGATTTTAAGGGGGGCGGGGGATTTTTTAAAATAGATAACAAGAGTGGGACCATTTAAGTTGTCTCGTTTAGTCGTTCCAAGTAATTTTGGCAACGATTGTAGCAGAAAATGTGGAATTCTGTAATTTTTACACTTTACTATACTGTCATACTTCATCGCTAGATGTTTTATTGTTATTAAATTTTATAATATAATAAATATATAAGTCTCAATAATTTACACACGATAATTAAAAGTAGCGTATTTACAAAAYATATTGAACTTTTATAATCAATTGTCTGCATTATACCTACTGGAAGAGAAATGCATATATATTATAGTACTTAGAATGAAATTAAACGAAATACCAACTTGAAGCTAAAAAAACTGTWTATTATGGATGTTTTGGGCACCTTCAGCCTTATTCAGCTAACTCTAATATATTGTAATAATGATATAGTGATATTATACAGCCTTTTGCACAAATTATGAGACATTTTTATATATATAAATATACCTAACCAAATATCAAAAACACCCCAGAAATTATGGTATATCTCTATTATATTTTGTCATGATTGCCTAGCATCAGGTTGTTACAGACAAAATATCAGCGACGGTATCCCATAATTTCTTGGGTGTTTTTGATATTTGGTTAGGTATATTTATATATATAAAAATGTCTCATAATTTGTGCAAAAGGCTGTATCATCATAATCTAGTAACTTGTCAGAGGCATTTTTGTGAAGGTGTCAATAATGACATTATGCTTCATATCTTTCAGGCCAGTAGGGATGCCTAGAATAAAAACAGTAACAATAATAAATCCTAGTACAGAGCAGAGTCTTCAACTGCAGTCTATCTCAGGAAGCACAGTACACTTTCATGCTTCCTTTTTCCAGGCAAAAGTAAGTCAYGTTATTTCCTGTAAAATAAAGTATTCTTTCAAGTTTAGAGCATTTTCCAGTCATGATTWTCTGATAAATTAGTTTCCATAATATCCACATTCTCTTTTGTTAATGCTTTTTGAAAATAGTCAAAGATGAAAATAGTCAAAGATAACTGCTCTCAGACTATTCAGAATTTTAAGAAAACTTAGAAAGAGAAATTGTTATCTATTGCCATTGCATCCATCCCCCTCTTGGTCAATATGCCTACTCYCCCCTTGATATTTTAAACAATGGAAAAGCATYCTTCATTCATGAATTTAGAAAGATGTGCAAGGTTGTCSKTCAKAACCATCAATATTTTATATGATAAATTTTTTCACTTTTGAATATTTTAAACATTTCCATTTTTTTTTGGTTTCATTATCCCAGTAAGATATGGAAATAAATTTGTAATTTCTTAGTCAAAATAAACCTGTATTATTGAATACATGTTTGTGATACAAGTGCTGTTAAGTATGTATATTTATAAACATTTATCTATTATACCACTGTATGCCACATGGTGGCTTAAGATTGGCTAGATATAATTCTCACCTGGCTCACTCCCTTTTTTTCATTTATTTACAGCAAATTGCATAAATGYTGTAAGATTTAGAAATTAAGAGTTAATTTTTGACAAAATGAGATCAGTATTGTGCGTCTTTTGCTATTTCAGCATTTTTTGGTAATTATCAAAATATTGCTAATTCATGTGTTAAATTAATATTTTCTATGAATGTTTTCTTCATTTATTAGTTTCAGTTTAAGTATTAATTTTTGTGATTTATTTTGTTCAGATTGTACAGCCGCTTGGGAATACAACTTTTGAAATAGTTTTTCTTGCAAGATTAGTAGGAAATGCAGAAAATACATTATTTATTCACACCTCCAAAGGAGTTTATCCATATCAGGTAAGGTGTCAAGGCTATAGAAAAAAAATCATGTACCACAAAATATGAAACATATAATTGAATAATAAACATTGCTGTTGCAATACAAGAGGTTTTTTTTAGAAAACCTTTTTCATTTGTTTAAGTAGAAACACCCCATCCAAAACACTGCAAGTGTTTTATTGTGTGTGCATGTGCGTGTGTCTGTTTGTTTGTTGTTGTTTTTTCTGTTTATAAAAAAAGAATTTGAAAGAAAGAACATTAATAATAAATTTACAATATTTTATTCTTGATTTTATAGGTCTTTGGTTCAGGAAGCCCTAATCCATATCGATTAAGACCCTTTCTGGGTGCAAAAGTACCACTTAATTATTCATTCACATCGTTAATAAATATGCACAATCCATATAGCTCACCATTACAGGTAAGAAACTATCAAATACATCCTGGGTGCATTATGAATGGATAAAATCATCCACTCTTTTTATTTTGCAATGATTTTATGCACAGTATAAGGATTTATCTYGTGAAGAGACTTATTTTATTCCACCTTTGGAACTGGCCTCAGGTCATCTATATATATATAGATAGATTTGTTAAAAGATTATGATAGAAAATGACTAATGACAATAGATCTGCACTGTATTTTGCTTTAAGCTGTGCTATAATATTCTTTAAATGCATTTACCAATGACATGTTGAAATACAAGAATTAATGTGTGATTAAGACCATAAAAATAGTTATAAATCAAAGAGATCATTATTGAATTTTTAATATTTT